TTAGCCGTTCAAAATATGGAATTAATATTAATGGTTGGTTAGAGTTGGGCTAAGAGCTATGAATTAATATGTGGACATGCCATTTATGTCAAATAAATTGTACCTAACGCTTCAATTAAAATGTGTGCCGTGGCAACGTCGCGATTGGCTATCTATTTGCTTTAACAAACTTCCGAGTTTGAAAATACTTAAGTTCATAACTAAATTGTTAATAGGTATGAAAAAATAGTGTGTAAATATTAGCTGTTTCCATGGATTTGCTTTAACTGTATTGTCGGACATGAAGATTGAAGTCCTTGACACTGTGTGGAATTTCATTAATTCATTTGATTAGGAATTCATGAAATAAAACTGTATACCTACACAAAATCTTATTTACTCAAAACAATTTCTTTGTCTCTGATCATTCACGAGATGCTATTCCGATTTGGAACACTGTGTAACATCTATTTTATATATTGCTACTATTGCTTAAACTTTTTTTACGTTTCAATAAAATTTATGGTTCTTATTGTCACAGAGATTACCTGCAGATAAATTTTAGATCATATATTTAAATGTTACGTTTATCAGTGAAGTGTAAAAAATATATTACATATTTCATTTATCTTTATTATTATTAGAGGCCATTAGAAGGCCGTCTAAAAATGTTGTTTTGTATCCTGTGGGTATATCAATATACAAAAAGTTGTAATGGTTTAGATGTTTACTATAGATTAAATTTTAGAATACAAAAACAACAAAATTCCTTCAGAGAAAACGCTAGAATTTTGTTTCATATTTGCTATTCGGTATATATCTGATGGGAACAAAAAAAAAATTATAAAAAACAAGTATGTCCACAATGTTAAACTATAGTAGAAGTAGATACGTATGTACTAACACCCACTTCAGGTAAAAATAAGCAAAGAAAAGTTTATATGAACCTTGATAAGCAAATTTACCGTTTCCGATAACCTTCAAATTTTAAGAAAACAGAATTTTGGATACATACCTATTTCAAAAAACTTTAATGATGGCTTTATCAATTTTTATACCTCTACATCAACTTACCAAAACTGTGTTAGTAGGTATTAATTTTGCATTTCAATTACTACATACCATCAGTAGGTATGGGTAATTACTGTACATACATCTATGACCTCTGAAATATCTTTGCACTCTTTTGTAAAATCAGCACATTTACAAAAAATCATTATTTAATTTTCGTAATTTCCTACACTTTTAGTGCATCGCATATTGAATCGAACTTACTTATTTGACACTAGAACCACAATTTTTTTTAAATAATAATTAATAGCTTAATACAAAGAAATTACTAAAACTGAACACGTTGATAAACAAAAATAATATATGTAAAAAAATATGTAAACATACTAGCAGTCTAATACTGTAATAGTAGAAAAAATAAATAAAAAGAAAAAATTACAAAAAACAAAGTTTAATTTAACAAAGCTCCAAATGAAATTAGAAATGATAAACTCTCAAATGAGAGAACTCTGTAACTCTTCATTTCATAAAAAACATTATATAATTTTGTTGTTGCAAATACAATTTTACATTCAATGTAATTAAGAATAAAAGAAATACATTGACATAGAAATTTAAAATTTTCTGATAGCAAGGGTCAAATTTCAACGCCACTGAATTTTTTGAACTTTAAATGATTGCAATATCTTAGAGGACTAATTTTTTTTTAGTAGAAGTAGGCAAAGAAAATTGCTGTAAATACAAAATTATTTCAAAAGTTTTGTTAATAATAAATAAAGATTTTCACAACTGTATGAAACTATGAGGGATCTTTATTTATTATTAACAAATAAAACTTTTAAAATAATTTTTTATTAAGAAAAGAGCCAATTTATTGTAAAAATAATAAGAATTATAATCATTATGTTAAAAACGAGGAATCTCTAAAAAATGTTTAAGTTTGACCGGTTATAACTCTGTCAACATAAGTCCAACAACTTTTGAAAATGCATCATTTTGAAGGGAATCTCATCTAGTTTTAAATTTAAAAAAATAAAATCTTAGTTTTTGCTTTTTTAAAAAATTGTTTATTAACGATTTTTTGCATTTTTCTTTTAAATTTTTTAAATAAGCCGTTTCGATGGGAAATTCAGTTCTCTACAAAATTTTTCCTATGAACTATACCGAAATTTTGCTTCGTTTTTGTGTTACATTTAAAAAAGTCCATTTTCACCCCTTTTCTTCAATTTAATAGCACCCCGCTGTTTTTTCATTTTTAATAACTCTTCGATCAAGACATGTGATGAAAATCCTTGAACGTCTTATTTCCTTCCTTTCTTGCAAAAAAACAGAATTAAAACATGTAAAGATAAACGCGACGAAAATTGAAAAATTGGCTAAGTTTGAGCAGCCGTATATCAGTCAATTTTCATCCAAAAATACTTTACAACCTCTTTTTTTTTAAGGAAATTTTATCTACTTCTTTTTTATGAAGCAATGCCTATACTTATCTTTACTCAAAAAAAAAACTAGAGGCAAAAAGTAAAAAAAAAAATTAAAACGAATTTTTTGCTTTTTACCGATTTTTTGCATAAATTTTCCATTTAAATTTTTTAAATAAGCCATTTCGAAGGGAAATTCAATTCTCTAAATAATTTTTATTATGAACTATAGTGAACGAAATTTTGCTTCGTTTTCGAGCTACAATTAAAAAACTGAAAGGGGTGCATTTTCACCACCTATCTCCAATTTCCACCCTCTAATTTAATAGCACTCCGTGGTTTTTTCATCTAAAATGACCATTTGAACGATTCTTGTAATAAAATATCTTGAGAGTCGTAGTTCTTTTTAAAATCCTATAATCAATAGCCTAGTGGTCTCTAGTGGCTAAACAAAGGAACTTTGAAAGGACGATGGACGTAGGTCGTCTTATTTTGACACCAAAAGTTTTGTCTCCCATGTACAAGGAATACTGGACCCCTTGTAGATACAACCAAAGGTAAAAAAAATAAGGATTGGCAATAAAGAAAAAAACAGGTCGTACACGTAAATACTATTTATTACACATCTTGGTTGCACTAATATAATCAAGTGGCATTTATTTATATCAGTACCATATAAATGTACACAAAAAAGGAATGACGATCTTACAAAATTTATGTTAAGGTGACCAGATCCCAAACAGCACCATTTGTTATTTATACAAGATACTTTCTAAGAAAAGTAATAACTCTGGTAAGATAACCAACCCTTCAACTTAACTTAGATTAACTAGTTTGATAGAACCAGCTTGTCGAGTTCAATTTAACTGTCCATCTAAAAACATTTGGGAGTTGAACAACTTAAGAAAGGGCGGTCTGTGGGCAGGACAATGTTGTCATATCTAGTTCTGAAAATTTATAACTAATAATGTGGGAAACAACTACTCTGCAGACTAAAGCCATGCCTAACATTGCAATATTTAGTATATAGCTAAGATCATTTGTCTTTAAAATCACCAGACATAGACCCGCTTCAAACTTAATTAGGTGAGACGACTGAGAAATGATTTGGATGTCTATCTAACAAGTTTTGAGTATAGGTGAGATATAACCTAGTTCATTATATCTTGCATTGCTTTCTGTCAATGTTATTTTGTTTAGTATGACAGAAGTCATTCTTTCATAGTATCTGCAGTAGTAGGTCGCTCTTTGTCAGTAGGTACAAAGCAAAGCTTTGTGCGAGTAGGCAATGAGTAGCAGTTACAACTAAATATAATACGCTTGGAACTTTGAAGACGCAAGTAACGGTTGGTTTTTATTATTTACTGATTATTTACAACCTTTACAAGGATGAGTTCGTAATAATCAAAGGTCGTTCAACTTTCAAGTATTTTTTGATGGAGTAAATTATTATACACAAAGTGATAAGTCTAATAAGACTTGCAAACATGAGGAGATATTCTTGTTGTAATTAAAGTTTTTAGATTAAAAAAATAAAATTTTTGTTGAGTTATCTGTTCTAATAAAATCATAAATATCACATTTGGAATGAATGAACGAATGAAAGTAGATAATGAAAAACAAAGCGTGTCGGATCAATAGATGTTGGATAAAGAATCGGACATGTAAAACACCAAGACGCTTTTATTTACAATAAATCATTAAATTTTTCATAGGTTCAATTTACGAATTACTAAATCAGTTACACTTATCATCCTTATTCACAATTTGCCTATATTGATTTACGAGTCAGTATTAATTGGAAATTATCTAAAAAATTATAGATAAACCACACTCAAAATATCTCTACTTGTAACAATCATTCAAAATAAAATATTTGTCATATCTCGTTTTAGTGAAACAAGGATATGTTTAATATATGCAGGTGTAATAAATAAATTTATTGTTCGGGTGTAATAAAATTTTCAAATATGATAATGCAATAACAAATAAGGATATCTCAAAGGACAGGTTTATTCACGGTATTAATTAAATAGTTTATATTAGCTGATTATACAGTATGTCCCACGATTGTTTCAGAAAGAGGGAAAATATCCTGCTTATCCTCGATATCCCAAAAGTGTTATTATTTTCTTAGATTTATATACAGGGCGTTCAATTTGTAAAGAAATAAAGGTTTCAACGAGCTTAATTTATTGAAGAATTGAAAACTTTTTTGAGAGATATCGTTAAGAACTCCAAGAAAATCGTAAATATGAAATTTAATGTATATAGAGATTGTCTGATTGATGTCACATTTGACATTCCAAGCTGTCCATTTACAGACTCATGTTCAAGAAGAGTCATCTAAGTTTAAAATTAAAAATATCTGGACTAGTTATTATGAACGCAGTAATAGATATTTGACAAGCATTTATACATTTTTAAAAAAAATGTCTTTTTTCTTTAAAATTTAAGTACTTAAATTTAAGTTGAATAAAATTCAAATACGTTCTAGGTCAATTACATTAAATTTTAAGTTAGGCCAATACCCAGGATTCATGGTCACCTTATACATATACTTACAACTACTGGAAATTTTTTGTTCACAATTTTCCTTTCTTATACCGCTGCCTCGCCTGCGATTTCGTGTATCTGGGTGTGTGTGATTTTCCCTCCTGCAGATTAGGCTCTGCGTCTACACCAGTTGGCGTATCGTTCACTGAAAATCACCCACAATTTCGAATGCAAATAAATAAATTAAATTCATATTGAAAACTGCTTATACAGGGTGTCGTGCTTAGATGTGGTACAAGCATATAATTTCCTTATTTTTCGGCCGATTTCAATCATTTTTTTTTTATAATGTAGGGTAAAAAAATCTTTATCTAACTGTGATACTGCTGTTTTAATGCAAGACACGGCCAACTAGGACGCGTTTTTTTGACGTCGAAACAGCTAAGTAACTGGTATTAGCGATTTTTTTTCCAAAAAACTAGATTATGTATTCTCACTTAGCGTCCTATAAAATAAAATATCAGCATGTTTCATCAAATTCGATACATCTTCAGACGAGCACTAGTTGGCCGTGTATTGCATTAATAAAAAACAGCAGTATCACAGATTCAGTTTTTTTACCCTACATTCCACAACAAAACGAGTGGCCGCAAAAATCACCCGTTTTTTCACAATTCGTAGAGAACTAAAGAAAATAGATAAAAATATGTTTTTGGTCTCAAATTACTCGTCGTAAAAAATTAATATGAGCACAGTTTTTTGATAATTTTTAAAAATCACTCCTATTTAGGGGTTGAAATGACACCCAAAATGAAGAATTGATTATTACCAATAAATATAAAAATATTAGTATGTGAATTTTTCTATCGAATGATTCTTGATACAACAAAAGATTTATTCTCATGACTGAAATAAGCATGTTGAATTAGAAAATCCACCCTTAAGCGCGCTCAGGGGGTGGAATCATCCCCAAAAATAGAGAATATCAGAAATAATTGTAAAAATTCCAAAAAAAATATATTAAGATAATTCACATGCTAATAGTTTTTATATCAATTTGTAATATTCAAATTCTTAATTTTTGGCATTTTTTCAACCCCTAAGTAGGGGTGATTTTTAAAATTTTCAAAATACTAATAGCTATGCTCATTTAAGTTTTTTACAAGTAATTTGCAACCAAAAACATATTTTTATGTATTTTTTTTTAATTCTCTGCGAATTGTGAAAAAAACGGGCAAAAATCACAGGTTTTTTGCGGTCACTGTTTATGAAATTGGCCAAAAAATAAAGAAGTTACAGGCTTGTATCACATTTCGCGACATCATGGAGTGTTCGCCTGAAGATGTATAGAATTTGATGAAACTTGGTGATAAGACGTTTTAAGGGATTCTGAACGAGAATACGTAATCTGTTTTTTGGAAAAAAATCGCTAATACCAATCAACTGGTTTGATGACAAGAAATCGCATCCTAGTTCGTCGTGAATTGCATTAATAAAAATGGCAGAGTATTTTTACCTTACATTCCAAAGTATAAATTTTTGAAATCGGCCAAAAAATAAGGAAGTTACAGGCTTGTACCACATTTAATCGCGACGCCCTGTATATATGTGATATGGAACTAAAAAAAATAATGATATTTTATTTCATTGCATATTTCCATTTCTCTTTGTATTTTCCTACGAATTTTATTATTTCCTTAAATATTGTGTTGTTTCGTGTTCTATATTTTAATTTAAACTTTATTAATGTATTTTTTAACTTTATTATTTTGTTTCGCTAATATTATTTGTGGAATAAAAGCTTGAATAATGATGATTTCAGATATACAGGGTGACTCATAGAAACTCGTAGAATCTTTTTACCATTACAATGTTATTGGGTTTGAAATGTAGAAAAATACGTTGTCTCACATAAACATATAATTTTAGCGGATATCTATGCCGTTTAAGAAAAACGCCATGTATGTATGCACAAAATTGTCGAACATTCTTTTGCATTCTTTTTGTAAGTACTTACTTAAATCTATTGGTGGTTCCAACAAACCATCCCTTTGGCATTTGACCCAATACCGGTATAATCTTGCAATACTATAGCCTACCATGGCAATCACCATGGTCACAAAAGCCATCAGCATTGGATGCTAAAAAATTAGGCAACAAATAAGCGAAACGATTTCCACAAAAGAATTAAAAATTCTTGTTTGTGGATTTAGCGTAGGTATCACCACAATACACAATAAATAAAATGTTCTATAATACAATAGAAACTTGGGAGTTGACATCTATTGACTGTCCAGAGTACCGAAATTTTGAAACTCTAGGATATCAGATAATAATGCTACTAAAATTAATAAGTATATTTTGAAAGTAGGTGTATTTAGTAAAATTAAAGCTGTTCACTTACTGTCGGTTTAAAAGTAAAAACGCAATCAGCTATGACTATGGCAACCCCTACAACGATTCCTATACCTGCCCCTAACCATGGTACAGTTTCGTCAGCTGTAAAAATAAATCGAAAGGTCGATTATTCCGAGAATCCAAATCAACTTTTAAAATAGTTGTTAGGTACGAGTCTTTAACATATTGTTTAATGAAAGTTCCTGAAAAGAATATGTACCTTTCTGTTCTTTTAAAATTTCTTTAGCGGTTTTATTTAGTGCTTCGACTAGGTTGAGATCATCCGGCTTTAATTCTAACGCCTTTCGGTACGAGTTGCACGCATCTGTATAGTGTCCGGTAGTGTATTCTACCTCTCCTTTTCTAAAATAACCCTAAAATAAGGATAAATTGTAGTAGGCTTCTCGAGAATCAGTTGTTTCTAATACATTATTTGTAAAGTTACTGTAAATAGATACGATATTACCCTGCTAGCTACTTCAAACCACTGAGATATTTTGTTACAAACAGTTAATTGAATTATTTAATATTTTCAAAGCTATAGAGACTATTATAATAATAAAACTAGCATTTATGTAGATTGGAACAGGAACACGAATTATTTACTTACCTTTGGCCACGAAGGATTTAGTTTGATAGTCTCATTTGCGTCTTCAAGAGCATAATAATACTGATGTACTTTTAGGAATGCATAAGACCTGTTACTGTGCAAAGTATAATTTAAAGGATCAAGTTTTATGGCATGGGTATAGTGCAAAATAGCTTCTTCGTACTTTTGGTTCTTTACTGAGAGGTTGCCCAGCTCCTTCAGTTCATCTGGAGTTTGCTTTAACTAAAAAGTATTAAGTGTAGGGCGTAATCAAACTTTTAAAATATTTTGTACGTACGTTACTTTCCATTTTTAATAATCACTATAAATTTGTAAATATTTGCATGATCCTAACCTAACTTTTTCTGGTTTCTGCTAATTTATGCGCAATGCGCATGCGGCTAATGATTTTTACTTACGAGGGTAAATCGTTATGTACTGAGGAAATTTTAAACAGAAAAACTTTTCATTTATTGCCAACATATTAAAATTTGAGAGTATACGATTTCCAATTTAGAATAACTGCATTGATTTTAAATTATTGATACTTTACTTCAGCAATTTTGACTGTTTTTTTATATTTGTGTATTAAATCAATATTTTTGTGTTGTTTGAAATTGTTCTTCGATTTTGCTGAAAGGGTAGGGATTTGAAAAACATTATAGAGTAATAAAACAACAATTCATGATGCTTTAAATATATTGCATATTTCAAAAATTTACAATAAAACATAATGTCGTTATAAAACCTAAGCCACTTGGTTTGAACTGGACATAATCTTATTTATTTAAAATTTACAACTGTCAAAATAATTGATATTTACACAGTAGTTCGACACACAATAATACGTCTAATATTTGAAATTATCAACACTTTAACCGATTCTCTCTAAACAAGTGGCTTTACAATAACAACTAAAGAGAGCATAAAAATGCACTCCGATTTGTTAGTCTACGTACGTACGGTCACTGATACTCATACAATACCAACCAAACCAAAAACAACCAATGAACCAAATTTATTTATCACATTAATCCACGTGTCATGTAATTGTAAGTTGAGATTTTCTCACAAAAGCAACGGACAAGAACAAGTTGTCTAAAATGGAATACAAAAGCGGGGTCTGTTTAATGCTTTCAAAAACCAAAGTTTGAGTTACTCTCTTAAAAGTTGGAAGAAAAACAAAAACAAGTCGATGAATCAGGTTTTTCTAGTATTAAGTAGATACACTGTACATTAACATTTTTTTTAAGAATGTTCATTTTAAAAACATCGTTTTAATTTATTTAATTTAACTAGACAGTAATTGTTTGTTTTTAACACGTCAAAATACTCTTGTTCTTGCTGTTTACAGAGAAAACTAACTGATTAACATTCAAACTAAATTTAAATGAAAAATTTTAGACTGACTCGGTACGTGTTTCAGAAAATTACACAACCCCGGACTAACGACATTTATTATTTTATATATTTTTTTTGGTTTTCGTATTTGCTTTACTTTTTCTCAAAAAAAAAAAAAATTAAAAGCGAGAAGACAGCATAGAGATGATTAAGCATATTTCTAACATATTAATATATGTATAATAATAATATAGATACATGGTTCAGTATGCAGGTTGACCCATTAATCATGGATTCACGATAGAATTGAACGTCGCAAAACTGTTGAATAAATTATTCTCTAGCGACGTAAAATACCCAAAAAAAAGAAAACAGTTCCAAGGGCGATAATTCATACAAAGTTTTGCTAGTAAAAATATAATTTTTGGGGCATTCTGCACAAATATATATATATTTATATAAACATGATGCGTCAAGGACAGGCCAGGTTCGTCATCGTAGATCATATGTACAATCACAACCACATCGCAACAATGCGATTGATGGACAGTCAATTGGCAGGAAGGACACTGCTATAGGACAACAAAACAATATCTAATTGGAGGAATGAGCTTGGCCATCACAGTTTAAGAACTATACCTATTCTAAATTAGATCTATCGTCTCAGAACTACCGTATGGGCACTGGATAAAATTTCCCTTGTAAGGCATCCCCAAGATCAATAAATGACTGATTAAGATGTCTTTTTATCACACTATATGACAGTTGCATCAACTTCTTGATCATTATTTAAGCACTCTGGAAGAGTAATAATTATTTAGTAACACCATTTTTATTTTTATTTTTGTATTTATTTGGAATTTTTAAAATGACTTAAATTTACCCTTGCACCAAAAAATTCAATCAAGGCATATTTTTTACGAAATAATTTTTGGCTAAAATCAAAAATTGAATTTGAAATTTTTCGTTGAAACTCAAAATTTCCAGTCCAATTGAAAATTTCATACTGAAACGAGATTTCATATTTGAACTCGAAATTTTGTGGTTAAACTGGATATTTCGTATCGTACGACAAAATTCCACGTTTTAACTTGAAATTTGGTAAAAAAACAACTCGAAATTTCAAACATAAATTCAAAATTTTATAATCAAACATTCACACTAGCAATATCTAGTATATAGGGTGTATCTAAATAACACCGGAAAAATGTAAGGGGCGATTCTCTGATGAAAATTAATAGGGGTCTAGTATAAAATTAAAAAAAAACTCCCCTGAAAAGTTACGTCTCTTCAAAATTTCAAAAAAAAATTGTTTCTTTTATCTTCCATGTATATCAAGCTAAAGAAGCCAAACTTGGTGAACATTATGTCAAAAAACCTACACTTTTTGAAATTTTTTCAACCCTGAAGTATTTTTGTAAGGGGTTAAATTTAGCCACTATAGAAAGATCTTGCTATTTCCACATTTTGTTAGGAGCATTTTTTCAGCTAACCTCCTTGCAAATGGATTGAATAAATTTTAATAATATAATCAAAAAGACACAGAAAAGACATTTTGAAATGAAGACCGTCTGTGTGGGTAAATATTTTTTACATACCGAGATTTTTGGTATCAAAGAACACTGACTTCATTTTATAGGATTTTTTTAGGAAAACATTTTTTGAATTTATCGAATCAGCTTAAAACCTTTATAATAGAAAAAAAATGAGAGCTAATAATAAAAAACATATTTTCAAAAAACTGATTTATGGTTGAATTCAAAGTTTCGTTTTTAAAATCAATTTTTAAATATATGGTCTGTAAAATTAATGTATAGTTTTTCCGATATCAATTGAACAACCAAGAGGTTGACAGTATGTACCAGGTTCGGTCGCTGACGCAGCAACTCGGCATTGAAATTTTTGAAAAACATTTTGTTCGCATATTTATTTAGCCATACCCATATACGGGTCTGGTTGAACTAAACATGGAGGTCGTAGAAATGTATACGCCCAGTTGAAGAATGCGAGTGAGGGCAAACGAAATCCAAACACCAGCTGCATTGGGCCACTGGGTAATAAATCTCAGCTATTGACAAGTGGTTCACAAATTGCCAAGCAGTGCAGTGCAGCTATGCGGAATTTGGTGTGATTCAAGTAATTTTAATTTATTATAGACACCTTCTATTAATCATTCATATTGGGGTCACGCCAAATCGACCACTTTTAACCTTGACCCCTTTTGATTTGGAAACTTTTTATTGTTTTCTACCCCATTGAAAACCTCTGAGAATTTTTTCACCCAACTCTTTATTATGATCTTTTTTTTAAATATCCTTTTGAAATTTTTTTTTTCAATCAATAAAGATAGAAAACGAAAAAACACCACTTAAAAAATTTGAGCATATATAAAAAATGTCAATTTAAAAAAAAAAAAATTCAAAAATGGTAATCATCGAGAAATTTTCGTTTTTTTTTCGAAAATTGAAAAAAAACCAGTGAAGATAGGTCCAGAAATTTTGATCTATTTTTTTCAAAAAGTACCTTTAAAAATAAAAATTTTGAAAAATAAATGTCCCGATAACTCACTTTTTGAAAAAGTTATGGTTATTTAAAAAAAAAAGAAATTTCTTTCAAAAATTCATCTTTTTTTGAGTTGGGTGAAAAAATTTTAAAAAATTCTCAGAAAACTTTTTTTTTCAATCAATAATAAAGATAGAAAACGAAAAAACACCACTGAAAAAATTTGAGGATTTATAAAAAATATCTATTTTTTATAAGAAAAAAAAAAAAAAATTTAAAATGGTAATCGAGAAATTTTCGTTTTTTTTTTTCGAAAATTGAAAAAAAACCAGTGTAGGTCCAGAAATTTTGATCAATTTTTTTCAAAAAGTACCTTTAAATAAAAAATTTTGAAAAAAAAAACGTCCCGATAACTCAATTTTTGAAAAAGTTGGTTATTAAAAAAAAAAAGCTATTTCTTTCAAAAATTCATCTTTTTTTGAGTTGGGTGAAAAAATTTGAAAAAATTATCAGAAAACCTTCAGCAGAAAACTCTTTTAAGGGATCCCTATGGAAGTCATTAAATTTTATTGCCGGGCGTTTTTTTACATGTTCAACTGACTTCGGAAAGACTATAGCTTTGTTCTCAAAACTGTTTAATGCACCGAAAAAAAATTGTGATATGTCTTAGGTCATCATTTTTGGAGGTTAAAGCAACTTTTTGGTCACTCGTTAAAAATTTCCGTGATGTAATGTGACAAAAAATGACACCACTTTTTGATAAAAGCAAATTAACATCAACTTTTGCAAGTACATTTATTGATGTAGTCGAAGGGATGCAAACAGGTTATTGCTTATTATAATATCATGCCACACATTCCAGTTAAATGCACATGAAAAAAATTGATAATTACCGAAATTAAATGAATTATAATAAATAGTGATTTAGAATCTGTGGAATGATCTTATTCCTCAAGTAAGTGTAGAGATATTAGACCACTTAAAAAGACACACATATTTTTATTTTTTTATGCGAGAAAGCAAATGTAAATTAGAGCCACAGTTTATGAAACAATTTTCTTTTTGTTTAGACAATATTAATTTTCAGGGTAGGTACGAGGGGTGTTCAAAAAGTTCCTGAAAAAAAAATAGAACATTAATATTTATAATAAAGAATTTACACTTATATATCGAGTGACATTGTCTCGAATACGGAATAATCACATTTTAAGTATTTTTTGAACACCCCCAGTAAATTATTTTTGAGCATTAAAACCTAAGTATCGAGACATTTAAGCTCAATTATGGAAAAATGTGTAAATTAAATCAATCTATGAAATATCAATAAGTGGTTTAGTTTACATTTGCTATACACTGTGTTGAATAGACACATAGGTTTTAATCAGATATAAAATAAAATTCATGTACAAAATTTTACTTCAGATCCCGTTTTCGTCACATTTACAACACTAATAAGTCAATTGGAATATAATATTGTAGGGCTACGAAACAAATTCTGCAAGGCAGACAACATTATATGGCTATATAACAATATTAAACTATTCAAATATAACATAATTAATAAATAAAAAATAATATATTGCGTAAAAGTGAAGTAAAACTTGAACCGATTTCAAATAAAAATTAACGAATTTGTTAAAAAACATATTAAGTGATTAAATTCCTTTACGAAAAGTGAAATTACACTGGTGCGCAGGTGCACAACAGTTAATAAGTATTACTTTTTCAGTCTGAAAGTGACAAAAGTTAAGGTTTCAAAATTATTAACCTACCATTTATAATTTTGAAAATATCATCAGCAATGTTTGGCACAGTATTTAAAACAAATAACAATTTGGAAGTTAAATTTAACGTTGGCAAAGGGAACGTTTTCCCGGTTTTAATTAAGAATACATAACGTAAAGAATTTAAGATGTTTTAAGTAAGTGTATATATAGGGCGTTCCTGAAATATCAAGTTTGTCACAATTTTAACAATGTGATAATTAAAAAATATATATTTATAAGGACAAACGGTATTAAAGTGGAAAGGAAAAAATATTTAGTACTAAATTTGGAAAAACATTAAAATAGAAAAAAATATATACTTACTATTCATTCTACTTTAATACTCGTCCTCGAATTAAGTAAAGAACATGTCGCAACCTAAATTTTCAAACACCCTATATATAAAATAAGCATTTGTATCATCAGACGTCGTCTATCAATAAGAGTATAAGATATATTTAGTTCAGATTAAGTAATATCTAAAAAGTACTCTGTCGGAGAGAATTTTTTGGAACAAGCAAGAAAAATTGTGATATATTAAAAAACTTGCCCACTGGACAAGGTTTTGTAATTATAAAAATAGAAGACATTTTACTACGGTCCTGTTGTGAATGTTAAGTGTGATGCAGGATTTCACATTGTTACTACAACTAGCTGAGAAAAAAAATTATTAGCACCGATACGAGAAAAATTGAAATGTCGACTCTTTGTTATTCGGCTGATATTTATGGCACTTTGCTAGTACCGCTGAGTCTTAGACGATATTTGCATTGGCAGGGTAAAGAACGAATTGACAAATTTGTATATAAAATGATAAGTAGGTATTTTAATTTAAAATTAAGATATGTAGTACTACTAAAAATTAAGTGGAAATTAATTTATAATAAAGTAGATATGACTGAATATTTTTTGAGATTTTCAATTTAATTGAATATGGTTTTGGGATATGTTCGGGCTTTTGATTGTGATAAGAGCACTGTGCCATTTCGGAAAGAGTTTTCGGAGTCAGTTTTATGTTAATTATTAATTTCTCAAACATTTCAACGTTGCTTAGAGCTCTTTTCTTGAAGAATTTGTATGTTCCAGCATACTCTTGAGCAATGTGTAAGGAGATCTTGATTAAAAACCTGAAACGAAAAAAAGCAGTCAGTACAATAAAAGTTTTTATTTACTGATAAAGGTCATTACAGATTACAAAAAATATACATTGTCAGAATGTTCCACACTGGTCTTCAATACACGGGAGCATTTAGTTGATAGAATTTTAACTTGGAATAATTGTAATTTAATAAATATAGTGTCCATATTAAGTAATATTAGACAGAAATTTTATTAGATTCACAACACTGCTTATGTTTAAGGTTAAAATTAAAACAATTCAGGTTTGAATTTTGGAGCAGATGCTTTCAAGTGATGATAAAATATTAAAAGGTAGTGATATCTCAGAGAGTATAATTGTATAATCTCCCAATTTTAGAAACATACAAGTGCACTGTTTATTATTTGCACTGGAAGCTCTTGCCTTCCATACCAGGGAGGGTGGAAAAATTTTGGTACGAAGTATTGAAAAAAAATATCAATTATAAGTGGGTACCTAGTTTTATTTTAAGAACTATTGAAATATAGGGAAAATGTGCTCCACATTATTTTTTAAAGTAAAAGCGCATCTTCTGCTTTCGTCCGAAATAAACTTTTCAATTACTTTTTCGTTAAAGTTTGGTTGCAAGTAGGCTTTTTCAGATCTCCGGGTTTGACCCGGAGTCTTCGGGTTTTGATTGTACATCTTCGGGCTCCGGGTTTAATATGTCATTTCTCCGGGTTTTGTTTGTTGCGGGAAAATCGTGAGGTTTTTTCGACATTTTCTGTTTTTTTTTACACATGAATTATACAACGCCCTACCCACGAAATCCATTTGTCCGGGTCACAAAGTATATATTTCCTGCTTTTTTTTTAGACATCGCTTTGTCCGATTACAATTGCAGAACCTTTTTTTTTTTAAGGCGTCAATTATACAAACGGGTCATGTCTCCGGGTTTGTCATGAAATAGATCTGGTAACCCTAGTTGCAAGTGGTGTTGTCTGTCTTTACAATGTAATTTAAACTTTTACAATCTTTTAAAACTCACAAGAAAGAATACATAGGTACCGAAATTTTACACCAAAAGTAAACAAATTACGTTTAATAGGATAAAAAAGCAGTGAGTAGCTATTATTTAGTTATGAGCAGACTAGACAGAGCCCAAACTGCATAGTAAATGTGAGCTACTCCCACTCCAACTTTCACTGCTGCATAACGGTAGCCATGACCACCACTGTAAACACTTTACGGATTTAGGGCCGAGCTATAGATTTCGCGAGTCCAGTTAAATTGACTGTACATTATAAATTTAATATTTCCTTTTTAACGTGTTTCATAAGGTTAATCTATTTAATTGTCTAGATAAATAACATTGTGAACTAGATTTTAAATTAAACTTTTTTGTCATGAAAATTTCTAGGCCTCCTCACCACTAAGTCGGTCACTGCGCATCGCTTTTCTTTTTTCTCTTAGAATCAAAACAAAACGTATTTAAGCCGCCGATTGCGAGCAGAGACCTTTTTTTTTTTGAGGCTGTATAGAGCTTGCAGGGCCCACCCTAAGCAAAAATTGTAACTACGCCCATGCTCACCAGCCGCCACTGTTTACGTTAATTTTTTAAAGTTAATATATATTCATAATTCTTATTTTGTTAACATATATTTTTTTTCACATTTTACTTAACCAATAGGCAATCGTATTATCGTGTGCGTAGACACAACAGTTTGTCAGAGTTCATTGTAAACGAATTATTAATTATTGATGATGCTACTAAGATTGAAAGATTTTAGTTGACAGTACTAACCGTGCAATGTTGGTTAAAAGTTGCTAAGTACAAAGGTATGTAATAAAAGTCTATTAATGTGATAACATTGAACGTTTTAATTGCTAGCATTGAGTTGGCTGTCAATTTGGCTTACTTTTTGCTCCGTCTATTTCAAAATGAAATAGATTTATTACTGCAATTCTACTGTATTAAAAGATTCGTTTCTGATTTAAGAATAAAAGCAAACGAAGACAGGAACAAATTTCTTATCTAATTAATCAAAAAATTTTATTGCAGTTTAAGAAAGTTCAGTTAGGTATAGTTTTTAATCTGTGCAACACCCTGTGTAACTCTAAATTGATCTAAGCATAATTGCTGATTTGTACGGAAATGTTAAAAAACCAAGAGATTTTCCTTCAAAATATAACTTGTATTTCAATAATTATAATTTCCAGTGCATGGCTTTATTTTTCTGAAAATTTACACATGCCTACACCACTGGCTTGAGCTAAGACTTAATTTTCTCAACGTTGAATGTTATTTTATTCATGTTGAGTATTGTGCACACAAAGTTTTGTATCAATATCTTTATTTGGTCAGAAAGATATTTTTTTTTTAAAACTACAACTATGCCTCAAAAGCAGACAAATCTGAGACAAATATTTATATGAGAGAATATTCTTATTCTCTCCTGCAAGGAGAGATGAAAACACAATTTTCCTACACATATATAATTTTATGTTTAATTCAAATTGAATATTGAGAATACAGCAAAATATTAATTATTTTTGTAGTCTTTTTCACCCAGAAACAGATGCGCTCTATTGAAAGCTGTGACTTCTCATAGAAAATGTCAGCAAAATGTTATAATTTTTTTTTTTAAATATTTTTAGGTACGTGTAAAATATATTGTTGAAATCGAGTTATTGATAAGGTTCATGTACATTTAGTGGAAACGTGTGTATATTAAGGAGAACACAAATTTTTCAACTTTTTGAAATGGTGATTCTTAGGAAAAAAATGGTAAATTTTTTATAGATAATTGCATGATCTACAATTTTTGTCCGACCTATTTTTATGGTAAAACTTATCGTTTGGCTGAAAAATGTAAAGAACCCATATTTGCAAAATTTGACCTTGAATACATTTTTTTGCAGATGTAGGATCGACGGGGACTTTTCACATTTCATTTATAATGGAGTTCCCGACACTCGTACCAATTTTCAGCTGTATGCGAGTTACTGTAAGCTTTTTTGAGCTACTTTGACCGGGTTACAATACCTACATAATTCGGTGTATGATATTACGGGAGATGTCATCAAAATGCAGCCACAGCATTGCAATTTCCTTTTCCTACTTTCAACTATCTACATTTTTTGAAAAATAACCTGGGGTTACTCGAGGATATTCCTTTAAATCAAAATAATCCATGTGGTTTATGCAGGACGGTATTCCACCTCATTTCAGACATAAATTGCAAGATTGTATAATGAATTTCTCAACAGACGGAGGGGTTGCAACGCACCAATATGATGACCTTCACAATGACCAGATTGTAATCGATGCAGTTTTTACATGAAAAATTTATTTTATAAGTTGAAGTGAACACATTGGCATAATTAAGAAAAAAATCTGCATAATTAACATCATGCACGATGATAGGCCAAGTGATAGATAACTCGTGTGAATAATTTCAAAAATTTTCTTGCAACAGGCTCGGACTAACATGAATTAAAAGGTTGGTTTTTTATTTTTGTTGTTTGAATGTTTTTGGAAAAATATCAAGTATATGAAAAATGTTCTTACTTTTCGATTCTAGCCATATTCAAGAGAACTATGTGGCCTTGTACTATCCGAGAAATGAATTTTTTTTTAATCCTGCGAATATTTTTACCAAGACATTTCTTGATTACTTTTTTTGTTTTGTTTTGTTTTGTTAATCTAGGTATCGTATATATTAAACTCAAACCCAAGAAAAATAAAAAGGTTAAAGTGCCAAAATTTTGTAATACCCTTTATTTCTTCCATTAACATACGATTACAAAAATAAAACAACTAATGAAATGTTTTAACTTAATACAAATAACATTGACCTAAATGGATTGCTTGCACAATATCTATTTGTTAAACCTGAACAATCTTTAATCTACTTTCGAACCAAACAAATAATAATTTTAACAAATCGCAAATAAATAATAAATTTTATGATTAATTATAATAATAAGATAAAAAAAACGCGAATTCTAAAAATCAAATGCTCTAACGAAATCTGTAAACTTACTCTGATTAGGATGATGGTATGTCGGCCCGCCGGTCCAGATCCGGAGTGAAGGAAATCGACAGCTAGGTCCTCGGCACTCTTCGGCACTTACTCAAAACGTACAGTCCTCACAAAGCGACAAATCAATAATTAACACAACGTCATTTATACAAAAACATGTCAACTAATTACACCTAGTACAACACTTAATTTAATGCACTTGATTTAAATAGTCGTAACCAACAAATATCAACAAAAGAAGCATTTACAACACTTTTTTTTTTAAATAGTAACGATCTCATGATTATTTTAGCCAATATAACTTCACTATAACTTAACATAGAAGAACTTTTTATACGATTCGTGATGTGATTGCGTCGTCCAATGGCAGGTGTCCGTAAAACCGAAAGGGGGCTTGGGGCCTTCGGGCCGTTAACCAGCGTCAGTACTGACTGTCCCTCATGCCTTCGTCGTATTCCAATACCAGCTGCTTGATGTGCGACAACTTGTCGTGTAGATACTGAAATCTCCTCTTCGCCCTCTGATGCTCCAGATCTTTCTTGTTCTCGTGGTATTCTCGTACTATTTGCCTTTTAATGTCCTGAAACAAAAAAGAAATTGAAAAAAGATATTCCTGCCTAGAAGGTTTCGGAACCGTATTGCGAACAGAATATTAGGAACGTTCACAATAAAAACAAAACAATTAACGAAGGAACATCTCTGCAAAGAACGAGAACGAAATGCCTGACCAACACATGCATATACTTATTTATATCTGTAATAAGTTTTGTTTTCCTCTAAAACATCCTCCATCTATATGGTCTTGTCCTCTACACTGTTCTTGTGAAGAACGAGAATTAAATGCATGATTTCATTCCTGATTAGACCACATTTGAAGCATTTTAGTTGATCAAAGTCTTATTTAGCACACATGTATTTGCGAATAACTTTGTTTCTGGTTAAAATATGTTTATGAATTTTGTTCCTTTTCTTCTCTACAGGAAGAGGAGCATTTCTATAAAGAACGAGAACGAAATGTCTGAATAACAGTTTTATTCAACATATATTGTATATACTTGGCACAAATTTTGTTCCTTTCCTGGTTACATGTTTCCTGTATATTGTTTGCAACAGTCCCACTATTCATTACATACGTTCCCTATCTTCTCTGCAGGAAGAGGAGCATTTCTATAAAAAACGAGAACGAAATATCTGAATAATAATTCTATTCAACATATATTCATATACTTGCAACAAATTTTGTTCCTTTCTTGGTTACATGTTTCCTGTGTGTTGTTCAGAATATTGTTCTCTGCAGAAATGTAAATTACAGCATTTTTGTAAAGGAGAACGAAATGCCTGACAACAGTCCTACTATTCATTACATACAAAGTCTTGCAGTGAAATTTGTTCCTAGTTAGAACATCCTCTACGTGTTTCGTTTATTCTCCACATGGACATAAATTAGAGCAGAAGAGAAGAAATACGAAATGTCTGACCAACACATTCGTACTTGTGATGCATGGTTAGAACGAAAATGAAGTACGTGACAATAGCTTTATCAAATACGTGTCTACGTAACTGTACTTATAATTTTGTTCATAGTTGGAATAAACGTGTATTTCGTTTTACATTAAACAGAGTATGTAAGGGAATGAATTGTCTAAGCAATAGTCCTATTTATTACATATGCATGTACTTGATGCATTTCGTTCCAGGATAGAACATATATTTCGTTCTGAATTTCGTTTTCTGCAATATAATTTTGTTTTTATCTTGGTTTTGTTTGTTTTTATTTTCAACATTCCTAGTATTTCGTTTGGTTTATGAACCGAAACACGAATTAAATTACTTTTTATTAATATCACATCCTCAAAACAATTAATTAAAAAAACTGAACAGACGACAACGAATGATGTACTTACTTTGTATCTGGGACTATTCTCATCCTCCTGCTTTAGCCTCTCTTCCAGCTGAGCAAACCGCCTGGACACCTTCTCCACGATGCCGTGCAAGTCCCGGTACTCGGCATAATCGGCATTAAAGTCTGCTTTATACCGCCTCCTCTGGTCCACGTCTTGTATGGTAACATATTGCCTGGAACAAAATGGAGATTAGAAACGAACTGCATCCTACGGAACAAAAGACTTACTGCTTGTAATCTGGGAACTCCGCTTTCTCTTCTTTCTTGACGACAGGGGGTGGCTCCAGATCCGCCGGTGGCAAACTGTCCGTCTGGCTGTCGGGACTGACTCTGGATATCCTATTCTGAGTAGAGGACGAAACCTTGTTATATTTACTATTTCTTTCTCGTTCCTTCTCCCTCTCCTTTTCCCGTTCCTCCAGCTTCATCCAACTGGACATACCGTTCGGGGGACCGTTCTGTCTCTCGTTCGAGACCTCCTTCCTGGGCTCTTCCGCCGCAATCTTGTTGGCAGGAGACGAACTTCGATTGTTAAGAAATGTCTTTTCGCGGCTTACACTGAAGCTTAAACTATGACTATCACATGAACGTTTTTTACTAGCGTTGTCTTCGTCATCACTTATATTGCGCTTATCATTGAGCATTCCGTTGGCGTAGCCGTTCATAGAGCCGAAGTAACCGTTGGTCGGCGACTCCCTGCTCCTGGGGTTCATGTTGCTGGCGTCGCGGGAATCGGTGACGGGCCGACGCTGGCTGTTGTTCTCTATGGGCTGGCGGTACGGCGGCACGTCCACTGGTTTAGCACCGTGGGCGATGCGCTGGCGTTTGTACAAGAAGCCGTCAGGGCCGTCCTGGAAGCCGGGGCGCTTGCTGGAGGTGATGGGCGGAGGGGAGCCGGGATGGGTGCTGGTGGGGGACTGGCCGCTGCCCGAGCTGCCGCCATCGCTGCCACCCGGTGGGGTAAGGTTTTGCGGTTTACGGCTGCAAATTAAAGAAAAAATGACGTGTGATCGTTTGTGTGATTTTGATGTTTTCGATTCTATGATTCGTTTTGTCTAAATACAACAATAATCAGAAAAGAAAGCACCACTGACTATGCGGGGGACAACGGTACGAAATTTTTAATTATTCAAAGGCCTTTTTATAGATTTTCTGATTATTGTAGAATAACTTCAATACAGAGGAAAAGCTTAATGATTAAATACCGTTTCAGTATTTGTCTTTCTGATTCGGTGTAAAAAGGCCAGTCCTCGTGCACCTCATTCCACATAGGCCTGTTCAGGTGATAACAGTTGTCCTTCAAGACGGAAATCTGTTTTAGCACCGAAGTCATGCTGTTCTTTTCGCGGAGGCCCTCTGCAAACACAACAAGTGGGTTAAACTGCAACTCATAATTAACGTGCGGGAATACAAACCTTTAGTTAAACGATCGTGCAGTTCAAACTTTTTGAACGGCCTCAACGCAAGTAGATGAATTAATCGTTCTCTGTAAATGACTATGTTGTAGATCCCATAATACTATGTTATCAGTTAATAGTGGTACAGGACAATCGGTGGTAAGGAAAACTAATTAATACACTAATATTTTATATAGCGTCCCAAAAATATAGACTTTTAAATCCTTATAGGACAATTTATTTAGCAAGTCAATGGTATTACTGGCTAATTTTTGAAATATTACTTTTGATTTTATGCAAGTTTTGTGTGTAGGAAGTTCTACATAGGATGGAAAAATGACTCATTGAGATTTGGAGTCTCTTTGTAATTCACGGGAAAAATGGACTATCGTCCTTATTTGCAACGTCCTAACAGTTTAGCATTTTTTATAAAAACTTTAGAATTCTGAATTTAGAACTTTCCTTAAAGTTAAAGTTGATCTCATCTGTCGTCTGACAGAGGAAGTAAAGTGGAAATAGGGAGTGAGCTATGGAACTGTGATGTCACTATTGCCAGATTTAGTAAAATTAGGGTCGTTACCATAGACCTTATAATGGTCGTTACCTTAGATCCCAAAAATTGAATTTGCTATTATTTTTCAGTAGTAAAAGCTTCATTAACTTACTTCTCAGAAAAAATGGATCACAAAGGAATATCAAAATAAAATTTAAACATTTTCTGTCCTATCTAAAATTATTGTCTCTCTTGCTGTGACGTCAACTTGTATACATCATAGACCTAGTAAACTATGGACTGGCCCTAGAGAGGTCAATCGCGCTGATGTGTGCAAGGCAGATGAAGCTAGTTGAGGCAAATACCGGTAAAACAAATGATGGTACACGGGTATATCGTTACAAAATGCCGTAAACAAACTTTGAAGTAAATGTCATGTATTGACGTTATTGATTGATTTCTTAAATTTTTGTGTGATTTAGTTAGTGAAAGATTCGTAAAAACTAAATATGGTGCAATCGTTTTCTGCGATAAATTTCGTAAAGAGACGTTTAAGTGGAGAAAAAATTAAATTTCATAGGTAGGAAAGAAGTTATGATGTTTATACTTTTTGGCATCTTTCTGAAAATAATGACCAAGTAGAGTTGTCTCCGATGATAACTTATTTTGCCGCTTTAAATGTGATACTCTTCAAATTATTTTTTAACGTCAAACTGAATATAACGAAAAAGTTTTAACTGAAATGTGCTTAACAAAAATTCTCTTTAAATAATATGTTCTGCAAAGCAAGAAAATATGAAATATTTGAAGCAACTACGTCAAAAGAGCTTGCAGTAATTTTAACCGATTGAGTTTACGATACGAGGAAATTATTATTTATGGATAAGGCACTATAAAAACTATTTGGAATATTATATAGCTAAAACAATTCAAATATTGTACTGTAATTAGGCCAGTAATATAATAAACCCTTTTACATACCTACACTACTGGAAAAAATGAATTTCTTTTGTCTTTTGGTTTCTATATTATTTTTATAGTCTTTGAATACGGCTCAACAGAAAAAAAGGGGTAAGGAATCGAGTACAGCTAGCTAATTGGTTGAATTAAATGTAACGCGCTGCAGTCAAAATTCTGTTAACGAAGCTTAAGCCCTTACTAGCTTCATCTCTCTCGCACACGTCTGAGCGATTGCCATTTATGTAGGCAAAATGACAGTTGGGCGAGTCCAGTAGTTTATAAGGTCTATGTCTATGGTATACATGGGCAAAGGAGAAATAAACAAAATACACAGAAAACGATTTGACATCATGATTCATGACAGTTTTGATATTTTATTATTTAGGGTTAATATTACGAACCTATTTAGTAGATGTGTTATTTATTATTATATAGTGAGTGTAGCAGTGATAACTGATAAGTATATTGTAATTTTCCATATTCTCCATGTGAATTAATATTATAATAAGCAAAAATAATATAAAAACACAACCAGACACCAGCACAACAAATAGTAAATGGTAAATGACAGAAAATATGACTGTTCCACTTTCCAGCGATGTCAGAATAGCCAACTTAACTTGTTATACCAACTTAAATTTAAAGCGTAATGCGCATGCGACATAGTTGACGTCACAACGTCTTATAGCAAAGGACGGAAAATGTTCATATTTTAAAGTTGTGTATCTCAGTTAATATTAGTAAAAATAAAATTCTGAAAAAAGCTATATTAATTTTGAAACATGCTGAATTCAAATAAATAAATAAATAAAAATATATGTAAAACGACCTTATTGTGTAATTTGCACGTTTAATATTGCCTAAGCAGAACCTTTATAAAGATATTAGCCAAAGAGCCATTTTACAAAATCATCAAACATGGAAACCTAAATTGAGCAGAAACCCTGAATCACGTTCTCAGGTTTTGTATAAAGTGGTAGATGACAGAGGAATTACTTCTAGGGCGTTTCTTACAAAATAACGACAACGCCATTTAGGACGTTTTGAATAAGAACGGCAAAACAGTCGCCGGTTAAAACTCCAGATCTCTTTCCATAGGGGCTCGTAGAAAATGTGAGGAAATAGACTTACTTGAGTGGTCGCCGCGCAATATCGGGCACCGACGGCTTTTTACTGTTGAGCTGCGGCCGCGAGCTGCTGACGTGGTTGCTGCCCAGGCCGTTGGACAGCCCATTCGTGGATGAGTGGACGACAGGCGGGGTGGGCTTGGAGGGCACATTGGACTGATAAGACGGCTGGATAGACGGCCGCATCGAGGACACCTCTCTGCGGATTGGAAGGACTGCTGGCCGGGTCTGCTTCAGCTTCACTTTTCTGCCGATGTCCGTCTGGTTGGGCTTTATCTCCCTTGTACTGAAAAACAGAAGATCCACCATCAACGGGCGAAATCTAAGCCTTGGATTTTGACGTTGACGCGTTTATAATATCGTTCATGAAGACGGATGTCATAACGATATGAAAAAAGTGCGCCTCTATCTCGCGCATGACGTCACCTGAGACCATCTCAAACGTCAAATTTTATAAGCTACGCTATTCAGTATGTCAAATGATGAAAGTATGTAACGATCCAATCCAGCATAACTTAAGAAGTTTAAGAAGTACAGATGAATCGATTGAGATGGGCCAAGCTTGGATCTTGTTGAGTATAGTTAGTTTTCCAATGAAAATAGTGAAACAATTTTTGAGAAATTGGTAAAAACGATGTTTCCGGAAAACGGTTTCCCTTTTAAAAACAGTGACTGTATAGTTGTTACGATCTCAATTGGAACTGCATAAAAACATTTAACTTATAAATTCTACGGAACCCATAGACGTCCAGAAAAATTTAGCCCTGTCTCGTCTAGATATACTATATTCCGAGCTATATTACCATATAATTACCATATAGACAAGGCGAAATCGGCGGCTTCATATGAAAAAATTAGTGTTATTTTTTTGTATAATCACCTCCGTGAGATGTCTCTGAATGAGGATCAAAATGTTACCGGCCGGTAACTTGGTCACAATTTTTTTAAACTAATTTTTTTTAAACAAATTGCAAAAATAACTTGTTTTGCTCCGGTTTATTTAGGTATTTCGGGGTATTCTAAACAAAATAGTTCCTATGCACTATGCCCCTAAAATCAACGGTTTCCGAGTTATAAACAATTTAAAGTACGAAAAAATGCAAAAACGGTCATTTTCAAGACTCAAAAACAATAACAAAAAATCAAGTTTTTGATGTTACTAAAGTTTAAAAGTAATCTTTAAACATCCCTTGACAAAATACCGAGGAGTTATTTGGTGTAATTACATTGCAATGCGTATTATTTTACCTATTAACAATATACATTTTGACTTGCGAGCCGCGCCG